AATTCATTAGTGAATAAGTTCATGAATTCATGTCTGTCAGATTGATGCTCAGTGGAGTCAATGGAAATCTGTCATTTTAAAATATATAAAGTGTAATGCTTAAATCAGGTGTGTCAAACTCAAGGCCCGGGGGCCAATTTCGGCCCCCTTTTTTGTGACCCAGTTTTTGTACCAGTACCACAGAGTTCCTGACACTCGTGCTGCTGTAACTTCAGAAAACAAATAGTCCTGGATAAACAGTCCTTGGTCTTTGTCCCTGGTACTGATCACTGGTTCCTACAGAGGAGGAGGATGTTGGGGGGGGGGGTCCTTTTCGATGTTCAACTCAACAAAAACAGATGAGACAAAAACAGATCAGTTCTGTCTGACTGTCTGACTCGTTACAGTCGCTTCAAAAGTTTGAGTCCCGTCACAACAGGCAGTGAGAACAGAGTCTACAGGAAGTGCATTATCCACTGCTGTACCCAGGGGGCGACGGCAGCCGCAGATAACAACTCAACAAAAACAGATCAAAGTTTAATAATTAAACACGTGTTTCTGACTCGTTACAGTCGCTTCAAAAGTTTGAGTCCCGTCACAACAGGCAGTGAGAACAGAGTCTACAGGAAGTGCATTATCCACTGCTGTACCCAGGGGGCGACGGCAGCAGCAGATAACGATCTGATGACGAAGTCGGGCTTTTTTAAGACCAGTTTATTGGTATTGTTAAGACGCTGGAATCTAATTAGGAAAATGGCAGCTGTGTCCACGCCACGACATCATGAAGTCAAATCCTCTTCTGTCCAGACAAACTCCATCAAACGGACAGAACCGTCTGTGGGTTTTGGTGATAATGTCAGGACTTTGATTCATTTAAGGTTCACTTCCTGTCTTAATCCAAATTATGGGGAATTTAACTCTGTTTGTGATTGGTTCAAGAGGAGCTACTAGTTAGTTACTCTAAGTTTGATCCTGCTAGTAGAAGACATTCAAACCCAGTGGAAAAAAGCACATCATTTAAAATATGCTGGTGTAGCATGTTAGCATGGATGTTAGCATGCTAGATATTTTACACCAGGAACATTTAGTACTCTTATGAATTTGCTGATAAAAAAAATGATATAAATTCCAAACTATGGAAATACAAGTGTAGAGTTCAGAGACGTGTTGCTGTTTGCACATTAAAAAACAACCTCGTCCAGTGAAACAGGAGAACCTGGTGAAACAGCACTGATGGAGTTTGAAGGCTGTGAGGAGTGAGAGTCATGAAAACCAAATGTCCCCTGGCTGCTGCTGCTGCTGCTGCTGCTGCTGCCGCTGCCGCTGTCGCTTGCTCTGCTGTTTCCCGCCGGCGCCGGTCGTCCATGTTCCTTGTGGTAATATTAGCTCAGACCTGGAATGGTGCAGCAGTGCTGTCATCAGGATTACTGGGAGTTACTACACTTCCAGGGATTCTCCCTGAGATCGGCATTTCCTGGGCTGAACACCAGACTGACTGCCAGGCTCCGGCTCAGGCTCAGGCTCAGGTTCACAGCAGTTACACCGTAACCCTGTAATGATGTGATATTCTTGTCGTCATAGCAGCATCAGAGGAGCCTGGCTCATGTCTTTACCCACAAATCATAGAGACGTGTAAAATCTAGCAGCGTGAAAAACCAAAGGGATGAATGTTGGGTAGAAAGATTTATCAATATGAGAATTCAAAGATCACGGTGAGAATCTCTGAGTGGAATCATTACCTGTGTCTAATCAGTGAAGTGTGTGAACAAAACATCATACTGTTATGTAACACACACTCACACTCACACACACACACGTTAGACATAATGGATCCATTCATGCCCTCTTAGCCTGACCTTTAACTATTAGAAGAATATGCCTCATCTTAATCCCCATGCTTAATCTAATCTGCCCCTAAATTTTAATCCAACTCTAAACTATTTTTTTTTAATTCTCCAAAAAAAAAACCCTCCCTCTCTTAGAGAGAATCTGTGAAATGTCCCCACAGGGAAAAGGAGTCCGAGAAAATTGTCTCTATAAGTATAGCTGGACCAGAATGATACACACACGGTATATCAGCAGATGGATGATGACATGGATGGATGATGTCATGGATGGATGGATGATGTCATGGTTGGATGGATGATGACATGGTTGGATGATGTCATGGATGGATGATGACATGGATGGATGGATGATGTCATGGTTGGATGATGTCATGGATGGATGGCTGTGGTGAAACCTGGTTCACATTGTGAGTTTTTCTTCTTCTTCTGCTCCGTTCTCATCGTCTCCTCCTCCTTTTTCTCCTGCAGGAGGGTGAAACCTGGTTCACATTGTGAGTTTTTCTTCTTCTTCTGCTCCGTTCTCATCGTCTCCTCCTCCTTTTTCTCCTGCAGGAGGCTCAGAAGGTGAACAATCCGGCCAACAACCAGGCAGCAGACAGGACGTTGAAGGGTCCTGATGAGAAGGAGGAGGCGCCGCCAATCAGTGAGGTGGGATGGATGACGTCGGTCAAAGACTGGGCCGGGGTCATGATCTCCGCTCAGACCCTGACGGGCAGAGTTCTGGTAGGTTTGATTGGTTCATTAACTGACTCCACATGTCTTTGACTAAGGATTGTTTTAGACCACTGCTGCGATCATCTTTAGGCTAACAGTTAGCTCTTTCTGTTGTATTTCCAAATTTCTGTTTTAATTCTGTTTTATTTTCGACTGTTTCGTTGTGTTTTTGGATCTGGGCTGTAAAATGAGAACCTTCTTTTGGAATGCAAGGCTAATTTGGCTAGCAGCTGTTTCAACTCTCTTTTGGCTAACCTTTAGCCTTCTTTTGGCTAGGATATATGTGTGATAATGTCTCTTGTTTCAGTAACTTCAGCTTTTTGGACCATTTATTTTTAGTTCTAAAAAAACTGGAGTTAGATTTGTTGCTAACTTTTATTTATTTAACTTTAACGTTAACTGTTAATTTTAGCCATATTTTATATATATCGTATAACTATATATCGTTAACTGTTAATTTTAGCCATATTTTTGATCTACCTTTTCTTCCCAGTTCAAGCTCTTTAATCTTTGCTCACTTTGTTTCTTTTCATCAACGTGGTCGTTCCAAACGTTTTCACACCTACGTCGACTCTCACATTAATCCACTGTATAATCCACTGCTGAACACGCAGCCCATTTTATACCATTCCCACAGGAGTCGTACTACAGAGCAATTAATGCCCCCCCCACACACACACACACACACAGCAGTGAGCGGCTGCTGACTCTGACACTGGGAGATTTATTTGTCCAGTAGGTTAGTGAGAGGCTGTCGCTGCCCCCCCCCCCCCCGCCCTCACCCCGGCGCCGTCGCTCACACCATCCTGCCCACGATGACTGTCATGTTGTATCTTTTTTGCTAACTTCAGGCTATCATTTAGCATTTTTCTTGCCTAACGGTAGCTGCTCATTTTACTAAAGTCATGTTTTTAGGCTCTTTTTTTGTCCTTATTTTTCTAATTTGTTGGTTGATATATAAACATAAATAAAACATATATAAACATATACTATATATATGTAGTTAGTTTTCCATCTTACTCTAATTTCTTTTATGATCCTAACTTTTGGCTGAGGCCCACAGTGTGTACGTGCACAGGGAGTTTTGTCCAGCAGGGCGGTGCCACATGGTGATAGTATAGTAGGTTAGAGGCTGTCGCTGCAGCTTTTCTCCTGGTATGAGTTACAGTCTCTGTCCCCTGTTGACCTTTTTTTAAAATAACATGTCCCGCTGCAGATAAAGACAAAGATGAGACAGTGACGTGCGCTACAGAAACCTGCTGAGTGAGAATTAAAGATTTTGTGGACGTAAAAATCCACTGGGTTTGTGTCGGCTGGAAAATGAAGCAACTCTTGTGAACTCTGATTCAGACGCAGCAGATTCAGGCGTAGGTGATGTCACTGTTAACGTCTGCTGGCGTGTGAGGATTAGTTTTTTCTCTGTATGTTGAAGATAGCTGCGGGTTGAGATTCTTCTTCTTTCGTGGTTGGAGCAGATGAGGAATCCTTTCAGGGAGCTGTCAATTTACTAAATTAGCCTTTCTTTCATCACTTCCCCCACTCACTCAGCTTCCGTTGGCACCAACGCCGCTCCCTCCTACCTTCATCTTCAGCTCCGACTAAATTCTTTCAGTCTTCAGTGTGTACAGTACATACTGACAACGTGGAATCTCTGGGCACCTCGTTATAGAATCTGTTAAAAGGAAACGGCTCGTTATTTTATTATAATGACCACATTCATCAATCAAATGAAATAAATTAGAACTAAATGTTTCGTACTGTTCTACACTGAACGATAAAGTCCCACAGGGATCTGAACCTGGACCCTTACCAAAGGACTGTGCACTTTTAAAATTCTAATTGGACCCTTGGACCAAAAGGACGGTGCACTTTTAAAATTCTAAAAAAAAAAATACAAATGAAAAAATGCTGAATGAATTCTTTTTCATTTTTATTTTTTATAGCTATTCTGCTCGTTATGAAATCTTTGAAAAACTGCTGAACGAACTCTTTTTCATTTGTATTTTTTTATAGCTATTCTGCTCGTTATGAAAAATTAAAAATTTGAATATATTTTTGGACCCAGTTTGAAGTTACCTCTTTAACTTTTATATTACATTTTCATAAAATAAAAACCCACTCCAAGCGCTTCCATTTTACATCCTGTTTGTTTGTGAGTGAGAGACCATCATGCTGACAGAGGGAGAGAGACAAGGATAGAGAAGGAGACAGGAGCATATGGGCACAGAGTGTGAAAGAAATGCTTTCCAGGCCTGGAGAAACCCCGGTGTAACACCTACAGAGATTTGTGCTGCTTGTGTTGGGGCTGATAATCACTCTGCCCAGCAGGCTGTGGTTGACTTCCTGTCAGATGATGCAGAGAATTTCCCGATGGCGACACGATGAAGGTGAACAAACGTGTCGAGGAGAATACGTGTGAAGTCATCTGTGAAGGTGTTTTTTTTTAGTGGTAGTAGAAATTAAAACATAGGAAAATGGGAGAAACACCAAAAAAACTAAAGGAAGCCACGACGACTCCTGTGAATTAGCAGGTTTAGCCTGAGGCTGTGTGAATCACCAACTCTACATCCTCCTGTGGCAGCGCTGCAGCCCAGGACTCACTTGTTTTTCTACTCCAGCTTCCTCCTTAAGGTCATGAAAAAAAATGCAAATTCACATTCATTTATATTTTATTACTGTCCTTTCACCAAAGTCCATGGAGAAATCAGGGTTTTCTTTTTGGTTCCAGAGGTGAAGTAAAGACTGGTCGTCTGCTGCTTTGTTTAAACAATTTGTGTCATTGAGAAAAATCTGTACAAAGGATTTTCAAACACCGTCATTATGAAATGACACATTTGAACTTCAGGATGAAAGAAACGCTGAATGAGAATCTGCTCTTCTCTGATGTGAAATCATTATCTTTTTCAAAGGACTTTAGTGAAGAAGAGAAACTGGTCCTCAAAGGGTTTCTGAGGGTGAAGAAAAGTGACTGTAAAATAATAACTATAGTAAACTAGACCTCTGACGTCTGATTCCTAAATCACTCCAAAGACCCGACTGATCGACCCAGATTATTCAGGATCTTCCTAAATCACTCCAAAGACCTGACTGATCGACCCAGATTATTCAGGATCGATCCAGTAGGTAGTGCTGTAAACAGCAGCGTCTCTGGGGCCCTGAGACAAAGACACAGACACAAAGCAGAGGTGAAAGAGTGGCTGCTTCTTCATCAGTCTCTCCACAGCAGCGTCAGAGACCTCATTAAGCTCTCAAGGGCACAGCGTCCAAGAAAAGACTGTGGGAGATAGAGTCCTGGCAGCTGAAGATATGACTCCGTTATTTCAACCACAACTCATCTGCTCAACACTTTCATTCTACAACAACGCTCCATAAAGTCCCACAATTCCGTTCTGTGAATGTGATCGCTCTTGTCCAACACTGGGGATTTGCGCAGCACGTCGGGTCCACATATAGGTCAGTGCTGCCGTCTTCCTTAATGGGATCTTGGTCCTCACCCAGGGACCATCTGTTCTCCTGGCCTGCGCCCTAAACCCTACGGTCGTCCCTGTGCCTGACTGTCCGCCCACGCAACGCACACGGTGAATGCCCTTCTGGTACGGTTAGGACGAATCGCTCCCTAAATGAAGTGATAGGACCAGGACCAGTGGCATTTAGAGACGTCAAACGTCCTCCAGCAGGGTTGACACATGTTTGTTGTCCTCACAGTCCTGTAAAATCACTCACGTCTTCATGGTGTACTTGAACAGCAGTATGTTCATCACAAGAAAGGACATGTTTTTGGACGTCCCCTCATCGTCAGCTCAAAGACATCGTGTCTCAGAATGTTGTGGAAACGGATGGATGTTCTGGTTCAGACACACGGATAAAAACCACATGTCCCTGGGATTAAACAGCATGTGATGTTTTCATAGCTTTATTCAAAGACATTTAAAGTTCAAGAATTAAAAGAGACGTCATCTCAGAGGTGGTTGTCCTCGGTCAGATTCATAAAAACCTCCGTGTCCCTGTGTTTGATTCTAAAGGACAACAGAGTCTTTAACAGGTTTGTTCTCACGTCGGCAGTTTACCACGCTGAATGTCCTGTTGATGCCATAAAGAGACATCTGATGTCCTCCTCGAGGTGTGACGGCTGAGTGGACGTCCTCCTAAGGCGTATGAAGACACCAGATGTCCTTGTAGAGGCATAAACGTCCATGTGGAGTGTCCTAAAGACCTGTGGAGTCCAGGACTGTCATTAGGAGACGCGTGCTGTCTTCAGAGAGGAATTAAAAGATGTTAGACGTCCTTCAAGTGGTGTAAAACAAAATGGCCGCCCTGGTGGTGACATTAGAGTCTGCTCCTGTAAACAGGTCCACAACTCCTTTGTCCTTTTTCCAAACAGGACAGATTCTGAAGGAGGACAGTTTTATTTTGTTTCTCTGTCTCCTGTGGGAGATGTTTGTTTTATCTGAGTTGGCAGGACACCAGAGGAGGCGGCGTGAGGACGCTCCATTGTCTTTCCATGTGTTCCTATTGTGGACAACAGGACTGTGAGTGTGTTGTCTTCCTGCAGAGAGCAGCTGTGGGACAGTTTTCACAGACATCGTTTGTGTCCTTCTAGTTGAGGTCCTGGTCCAAACCAGCTGCCTGGTCTGAGCTCACTGGTACTGGACCTCTGGTAACTGATGCTGTCTCTGTTTGGAGTTTGTCCACCTGCATTGAGGTATTTTTGTCTCCACGTGTCTGTCTCCTGTATCTTTGCGCCGTGAACACGTCATTCCTCAGTCTTTCACATATAATCGGCAAGTTTTAAGGTAAGAAACAATGTCCCCAGAGACGCATCAAAGACATCAGGTGTCTTTCAGCTGCATTAAAAGTCTCTGGAATTAAGACGTGCGATGCTCCTGAAGTAGTAGTGAAGATTTGTCTTCGCTCGCCTCGTCCTCTCCCTCTGTCTGGGGACGAGAGTCTCAGCAGAAAAACGAGGAGGGTGATTTTCCAGAGAGCGTCCTCTAACTCACCAAATGGAG